TTTTTTCCATCACAAGTTACATAGGATCAAAAATTAAATCGATTATTGAATTAGTTTTGACATAAAGAATTAAAAGTCAGTGGTTCAACAATAAAAAATCAGTATATAACTTTGAATAGAGTAATATTTAAATAAAAAAATATCCATATACAAATAAATAAAATATTCGTATATAAAATCTAATAAAATAGAATTATTAAAGCATAAATTTTTTCACGTTGTTTTTTTTTAAAATTTAAAATGACATAATTTCAAGTTCAGTAAGGGGGAAAAATGTAAAATTCAATTTGGTTATCTTTTCAAAACTCTTAACTAGATTAGTTAGAAAATTCATTTACCAATTTGGTATCTTTCTACCGAAGCCAATCATGTTTAAAGCATTATTGGGTACTTATCTTAGGGATTAATTTTTTTTTTTTGCTACAGCTAACTCTCATTAGTCGGGTATTTGATACCATGTAACTTCCAATAACCAGTGAGTTTAATAAAACACTGAAATGAACCTTATCAAACTTTTTTTTTTACAACATTTGTACAGAGCAAAAGAATCTTCATATAATTATCCTTTTATTTCTTGTATTTATTAGTATTTTCTTATTATTCTTGCTATTATACCCAGTAATATCTTCACCTTTTTCTTTGATTTCCTTTCTCTTTCCCTTTTTTGGGCCTTAATCTTCATATCAATTGGACACAGAAAAGCCTTTCATCCATCATGAATATTTTTACTGATTCAAAAATATTCCATTAAAATGAATAAATTAAGAGTAAAAATAGGGGGAAAAAAAACTCCATGATATTTGGGGATGTGCAAGGACACGTGTAACCAGTTTGCCTACCATTACAGTGACCCATTTAAGTGAACAAAAGCCGAAACCAGGCTGGCCCAATATAAACAAGCAGGTTTGGCCCAATCCTGAGAAAATTATTTAAAAAAACAATTTAATTTAATTTATTGACAAACATATAATTACATATAATATTAGGATGGAAAATAAAATTTTCTAAAATTCCAAATACTCCATAACTATGCATTATTTTTAAATGATATCAAGTGAAGAAATCATTTTAAAATTTTAAATAAGATTAACGAATTGAAATCTTAAAAAAATTATGATAATCATAAAGTGAATTTACATATAATCTGTTAATAAAAATTGACACAGTATCATATATTCAGATATCCTAAATTCATGTCATGTTTTAAATTTTAGTGTACAACTATTACTTGTTTATAATGCTAAATGAAGATGGATAATATTAAACGAAGGTAATTAAGATTCAAAATGGTGTAACATTATTAGGGGAAAAATAATGTGAAATTAAATGGATGATAAAACTGAAAAAGCCAAAATAATCGTTACAAAGTGCATAGATTTTATTTTCTCCTCAGTATATGGGTGTTTTTTCTTATGAAGACAAGCAAATAGGCATGGAAGAAGTAAAATGTATTCATATAAATTAGGTTAGGCACCATTCATTTTGAGTTAGTCTTTCTACATATTGCTATATTTTCAAATATCCCTTAACTTTAGTTTGGTTTTTTTTGGGGGGGGGGGGGGGGAATAAGAGAATAAGTGTTTAAAAGTTACAATAAGATAACGAGCAGAAAAACTGCTGTAAATAAGAAAAGAGGGCAAGGAAACAACATAAACAGAATGACAAGAGAAAGTAGATAAAAAGGATAAAATGTCCTACCAAACAACATCTACTGAAGATGGTTGAGATGTAGGAATGAGGATGAATCTCTTCTGGATGTAAGAGATTGATAACACTGGTCTTAAATCTACATTAACGAGGTTGGAACGATGAATCCATGAAAAGGATGTACGAAGACACCTATTCACAAAGATTGTACCAGCTCCATAATTACATTTTCACAAAAATTCCTTCAAGAGCGAACCTTGATAGCAGATGGCTCCATAATAGCAATGATTCCTTGATTTTTTTAAAATTTATGAAGGAAAATATTCTAACCTGATAGGGCTTAGGAAATTTAGAAGTAGAATTTAGAAGAAGAGTGAGAGAATTTGAGAAAAGGGAAGGGAAAGAGAGAAGAATATCTACAACCAGGATTTGTAATTCTAGAAAGAGACAAAGAAGATATTCTGAATAATTCTCATTCCATCCATAATATTGCATACAGAGTAGCTTAACTAGTCTGACAATACGATAATTGGAAATAACTACCTCCTAACTTCATGATAGAGAAAATAAGACAAGAAACTAAAAATAACTTAAGCCTGCATAACTACCCTCACATAACTTCAAGCCTTATCCAAACATGCCTTCCTTGAATAGACAAGCAAGGGACGCTGGACTCTAACATAGCCCTTGTGGTTAGGGCATGAATGCGATGACAACATCTGTCGATTGTTGTAAGCAGCTGTTGGATTCGAGGAAGTTATACTCAAGAATAATTGTAAACTTTGACCTTCATGAGTAATTTCTTGAGGATAAGGTAAAATACCCTTTTGAAGAGCCAGATTCCTTTTTGAATTAGAATCTTGAAGTACAGTATAAGCACTATGCAAAAAAGTGAAGGACTGAAGGAGTAGAGAAGGAGAGAATTGGAAGGAGAGGGCTAGGGAGAATATATATAGAGGACTTGGGGGTGGGGAGAGAGCAAAACAATAATTAGTAATTCATTTAAGCGCGTATCAAGTGTTGAGACATCATTCAAAAGCAGTAACTTATGAATTAATGATATAGCATGCTAAAATTCCAAAACTAAATACAAATAACAATTAATAGTTAAAAAATAACAATGAAATAAGAATTATGTAAGTGGAGGATTTCAAACTAGGTGGTTTAAATGGGAAAAAGTTACATGAGTTATTTATAACCAGAAAGTACCCAATAAAGTGAAAAAAAATTTTTGCTATTAAACTAGCAATGCTGCTGAGCTTAGGGGTAAGTGACGAGTTGGGCTGGCAAAATACGAGCTCATTTTGATATGGGTTTTTTCAGTCCACACCTACCACCTGCAACTAGCTAGCCCTTTTTCTAAACAAATATTTTAATTTTAACAAAAAAAATTTGATCATTTTAACTCAATTTAAATATATCATTGTATTTTATTAGGAACTTTAATTTTAGGTTTGATTTCTTTTTTGATTGATATTTTTTTTAATTAACAATATATTCAAATATTGGGTCATTGTAACGTCGTGCTATCATGTAGCCAATCCCACTTCATGAGACAAGACTTTGTTATTGTTGTTGTTAGAGGGATTTTCACTATTTTTGGGAATCAAGCCCAAGGCTAAGCCAGCACTATAGACACTAAGATGGTATTGTTCCCTTAAACAGTAAAAATAGAGAGAAGCTATCAAAAATATGAAACTGTTTAGGCTAACTTTGATCTTGTTTTATTAGTTTTATTGAATTTCTCTTTTTTATACTAAAGCTTAGGCACAAAAAGTAAGAAAAGTGACACAAAAAAGAAGTTGTAAATTATTAAATTTGAAATCAGGTTTGGCAACAATACTGTTGATACTAAATTTGTAAATAACAACAAATTTTTGTTGGTATTTCTTGTATTCAGTAATTTTTAACTTCTTTTTTTGTTATTTTTTCCAAAAAGTAAGTACATATACCAAAAATGAAAAGAAAATATTTTGATCAGATATGATTTTTCAATTTGAGTGTTTTTTCTTTGTTTTTTATTCGTTCCCCCTCACCACTCTTTTATCAAGGCTATCACTATCTGATTGTCATGATTCAAGCATCCCAGAAGGCATCATGTTCTAAATGGAACAACTGCTTCTTCTTTTTTGGGAACCAATGGAACAACTAATTTCAACAGTAATGAAAGAATCATGATCATAATTACACGAGGATAGTGAGGTGAGACAGAAGGTAGACTGGGGGGGGGGGAGGAGAGACGCTGAGGTCAACTGAGGAAGAGGAAGACGATGGACTCAAATGCCATATCATCCATTGTCAATTAAACTAATGGCTTCATTAACAGAAGGACTGACATTATTAACAATGTAAACATTAAAAGTTTAATAAAAAGGATAAAAATTTATAGGAAATTGAATACCAATCTTCCTTCTAGTAATTAATCCATTTAATCTTGAATGTTTTTGAATCAGAAGTAAGGATGATCACAAGAAATCCATGCTTCAGATGGAAGGATACCAGGATTCATGATGCTTCTGCAAGCTTTTATTTTTAGGATTTTATTAATTCGCAAAATTTTTCTCAATTTTTAGTAAAACATGTTAGAAATACTTTATAAATAGAGAAATATCATATATATTAAATAGAGATAAAATTAAAAATTTATTAAATTTTAAAATAGAGTTAATATGGTTTAAATTTTTTTTTTTCATTTTGATGAAGCATATTAAAAGTATTATGTAAATAAAACCAAAGGAGTATTGGTGACATCAATTTTCATAAACTGTTTATAAGAAAAAAATTGCCTTAGGCAGAGCCTTTACTAACAATCTACGTTTTTAAAGGAAAAGTGTAAAATTTATTCAAAAAAAGTTGTTCCACGGAAGTTCGTACTTTTGCCAAAAGCATCTCCTGCAATTGAAGTGTTGATTGGATGCAAAGTTATTCAAATAGGCTACCATTTATCAACATAATAATGATCTCAATGATAATAATTAAGTAATATATTTCTAATTTTATCCATTGAAAATAGAATATAATCTTAAAACATATAATGAATAGTGAGAACCAAATTTCAGAGTCATTTTGTAACATATATTCATACAAATTAAAAAACACTGTTATAGAAAACACTACTTAATTAAACTAGTTTTTGATTAACTAGAACATGATTCCATGTATATCTGGAATTTGATATGAATTATGCTAGTATTCGAAACTTAAATATAAAATTGTAAAAACACTTTTTTTTTTATTTACCGGTGATTACATTGAATTCTTTATTTCTTGTGTTTCACCCCATTTTTATTTACAGGAAATAAATATTGGAAGCTTATTAAGATATGCCTTAAAATTCAACAAGTGCTTGCAAAGATTAGAAATTACCTATTGTTATTAGTTAAAGTCATGAATATAAAATAGTAGGATTCAAACATTACTATTATGAATGTAAAATATAGCTTTATCAATTCAACTAACATTTATTAGCATAACGACTAAAGGAATTTTTATGTTCAGCCCTATGAATCAACTAAACTTATGAATGTTCTAAAAGAACAAAAAAGTTAAAATTTGTTTTAAAAAAATAAGAAAGCCTTTTCTGGTTCAAACGGAGCCGCTAGCAAGTTTGATCGACGATCCGATCGGTAAAATCGTCTAATCGGATCTGGTTCTTTAATCACTGCATACAAGAAGCTTTTTAACTTTAGGGCATGTAGTTGAAGATGGAATTGGTTGCCCAATAAAAAATCAGTTTCATGGATCCAACTTTTCAGACCCAATCCAGCCTAAACCACTTACAAAAATAGTTTGTTATGTGTAAGAAGTGAACTGTTTGCTTTCAACACAAGTTAGTACTATTTCCGGTTCTAATTATAAGACTTAGTCTATAGTCTACCAAAAAGGTCTTATAATTAGAGACAGAGGTAACAAGTTACAATCAGTGGGTCCAACAAACATTAACATAAACCTTGTCAACCTCAAACAAATGAAATAAACTCAAATAATTTTATTTAATAACAAAACTATGATTACGTAATATTAAGATGAAAAATAACATTTTCTAAAATTCTAAACAACCAATAACTATGACTTATTTCTATATAATATTAAGAAATCATTTTAAAATTTTAAATAAAATTAACGGATTGAAATCTTAAAAATTTTCCATCATAATCATAAAATCAATTTACATATCATCTATCAATAAAAAATTTCACAGTATCACCTATTAACAGAGATGTCTTAAAATAATTATATAATAATTTATCCATTCCTATTTATTTGTCTTGATTTGAATTTTCATTTTGTCCCAACCAATATGCTTTGTTTCACATTCCAAGATATAATTATTACTTATATCCAATAATACCCGTTAGCTGCAGATAGTTAAGACTTAAAATAGTATGGCACTAAATGGAGGGCAAAACTGAAAAGGCAAAAATAATTCTTGCATAGTACATATATATACATATTTGGTGATAGAATTTTAAGCAAAGGATCCAGCTCCCCCACAAGCTTAAGGCACAGTGCCTGTCGATCACACACAACCCAATTGTCTGTTGGTCACACACAGCATTTTTTGGATAACCTTGGTGTGCCTAGGTCTTGGATAGTACATAGTACATATATTTATTGCTTTCTCTTTAATATGTGTTTTATCACTATGAAGACAAGTAAACAGGAACAGAGGAAGTAATGCATACACATGTAGATTGGGTTAGGCACTATGAATTTAACCTCAACTGTGTGTCCTACCCAGCCTAGTCTTTTGGGCCAACCCCAATATGAAGGAGGGTATGATTAAATCTATCGAGTTAGTTGAACACCCTTAACCACGAGGCTTCGAAAATTAGCTTCCCTGCCCTCAAGAATTCAGCCCCACAGGTAAATGCACAGAAATTTATTTATCTAAAACACTGGAAATCCCGTTTCTGGTTGTCAAGTTAGCTAATAACATGTCTACTGCTGCAACAAGAAGAAGAAGAAGAAGAAGAAGAAGCTGAGTGTCACGAGTCTTCATTTATGTACAATGTTATCATTAAGGAACGCTAAAGGAATGAATGGTTACTACTCTCGCTGAGCGAGGTAAAGCGATGACAAAACCTTCTATTTCTATATCTTGCTATATTTTCAAACATTTCTTACCTTTTGCTTGGCTTCTAAGCTTGGATGGCCCGTCTTTGGACTTGAAGGAACAGAGCCAAACTTTCGAACCAGGATCTTGAAGCATGGTATAAACACTATGTAAAGCGTTCCCAGAATAAAAGGCGCTGCCACAAGCCACCCTAATAACTGCAAGAGATAAAGAAACAAACATATTTCAATGGCATATTTTCGAAAGGAAATCAATCAAGGGAATCCTGATAGGCACATTGCCAATTGGCGACTTTAGGTACCAAAAATATCATGTAGACTATGCAAGCTTCTCGAACCTAATACAATACAAATTAAAAAAAAATAGTAATATTATAAAGATAATGGGTGGAGTATCACTGCTAAATAATGATGACATTACAGTTAACATGATGGTAAGAAAGGATCAGAATTAGAAAGCAGCTCAATTGTCCATGTTGCTTCATGAATAGCGATGCAAGGCACCATCATTACGTTCTATGCTAAGTGGCTCGAGTTGTGAATTACAGTAAAACTATTCCAGTTTCATGAGTAGTTCAATGCTGCCATTGATGTTTTATTCAGACAAAAACACCTGAAATCATGATGCATTCTGGAACATTCAGCATTGTAATTTGGTCCAGAAACAAGGGAAGTAAATAGTTTGGGAAGACTGTGTAGGAAATAGGAATTCAGTTCCTATTATCTGGAAGATAATCTAGCATATCACCTTCAGCATTTGCTTTCAAGGGGTCACGACCGTTCAAACCCGACCATTTTTTTCCCCCAACAAAAATAGGTTTCAGTTGAATTGGACAAATAGTTTCATGTGGGTGGGTTTTATATATGAAAATCAAGTTCTTTAAGTTAATCAGGCCTCCATTCTAAAAAGCATGCAAGATCAAATATTGATCTCGGCCATGTTAAAAAGTATATTTTTCGTGCCTTAACCGAATCTACCTGATTTTAACAAGCCCCCACTACCTAAAACTACATTTGGTGATGGGTGATATTTTGTCACCAAAATATTGGTTGGTCAGGGTGAATTGTCAGTGACAACCAATGCTCACCTCTACCTTAACGTTTTAAAGCATATTATTCTCTACATAAGATCCTAAACTCATCTCAGCCAGTTCATTTTTATCCTTATTTGATTCCAGGTCACATCTCACAAGTAGTATAGATTCCAAAATTAGAGTAAGGACAACCCACTTGAACAAACAAACCAATATTACTTGGTCCTCCATGTAAATATTCCATGCTATTCATTCTTATCCATGACTATGACCTGTAATCTTCTGGCGTGATCCTCTAATAACTCTAGTGTGATTTGCTGAAATCTATATTCCCAAAAAACTGTACAAGGTCATTTCCTTGAATTGTGCAAGCCCAAGCCATCTTTAGGTGATTGTGATTCATTATCATCCTGGATAACAAATCAACTTCTACTTCTAAGCGAAGCAAAGCAACACAAAATATTACTTCTTAAAGCTGAAATGTAAATTTCTTGCCATGCAGCCAGCCCAACACTATACCATATCAGCAGTAGACAGCAATAGGCATATTTAACATAATACACTGCTTAAGAAACTGACTAGATCTGCCTGCCCGAGGTCATTTGCCCCTGAAGTTGTCACTTTTCATGTCAAATCGGCAATTCACAGGTCCATATTCATGAGTTATCACGACTAATGAACTCCCCATCCACCAAAGGATTCTACCTAGCATGCAACACCACCATTTCTTTCCAACAAAATAAGTTTATTCAAATGAGCCAAGGTTCTTTTTCTAGTCACACTTTCCTGCCAGTGAAATAGAAGTAAAATATGATGGACCTGGAGTCACTGGACTTACATACTGAAGACCTATAACAAAAGAAGGGGAGTACAAAAGAAGAGAATTGGGCCTGAAGGGGGTTAAACATAGGGTCAGGACTCATTCCAGCAGAGCCAAGCAAAGAAGTCCTGTAACAAAATATGCAGCGCCTCCCAGGGAAGAGGGTAAGCCCACAGAGAGAGGCCAATAATTGGTTCAAAGGGGATATATCGTAAGGGGTCTGTCAGGAGTGGAACAAAGAAGAATTCGCTGTTCGTGGAGATTCTCTAGCCTTTTAAAAGCTGGAAGGAGTCTGTTTCTCTTTCATTCTGCAATTTTTATATTTACCCTCCGTAAATCCCTGAATCCGTCAATTATAATCTTTCTGTGATTTGCAAAGCAAATAAAGGCATCATCTATATATAAATAATATCAGTTTCTGTTGGATTCTATCAGTTTCATAAAACTATCGTCCTAAATTTCATTGAAGCCAAAGGCACGCCACAATTGGTAGAGAAGGAACCACAGTTAATTTTATTTGTGTGAATATACGGAACGTATCTGTCTGCTGGATGCAAATACAAAAGAAATTATTACAGTACTTACTGCATGGGCAATGCTTGAGAAAACTTCATAAGAAGCTTGACCAGTTAGAACTTTCTTTAAAGCATCAGATGTTAAAGGGAAATGAGGTCCTCCAGAGATGACTTCACCAAACCGTAAAAAAGGCACAATGAGACTGAAAATGCCCCAAAAAATTTAAATTAGAAATGAAAATCAATGCTTCTCACTAAAAAGAAATCATATTAAAAAATGCACATGTGAAACATTAAAAAAAAAAAAAAAATGGCCCAAGCGGAGCAGGGAGGAGCTGTTACGAGAGCAGGGCCATAAAATTGTATATCTGTATAAGGGAAATGTAAAGAAAAATGAGCATAATCAGGAGATATTTTGCATTCTCTCAAATTTTTGAAGAGTTCAAAACTTATATACTTAGAGCGTGTTTGTTTACACTTAAAAAAAAAAAAACAAACAAACAAAAGAAAAGTACGTTTCAGATTGTCTAAAAGTATATTTTATTGTTTAAAGATTATATGAAAAGCAGGAGTTATTTTCTGTTTGACTGCAATCACAAAAAGTACATTTTACTTGAAAGTGCTTCTCAAAATAATCAGAAGCAATTCAGACTACTTTCTCACGGTAATTAAATATCTAACTTTTTTATATTCTGATTACTTTTAGAAACTTAAATAAATACCCTAAATTTTTCCAAAAGTAGAGTGATTTTTTCGTAAAATAAACTGAAGAGTTTTGAGGGTAGGGTTGAACTTGGGTGTAGGGACTCCCTAGCGAAATAGGATGTGCCCATGCCAAGACTATTTTACTTTCATCCTAATTTTCTAGGAGTAATAATGTCCATTGCTGCATTCCCAAGATTTATACCATTATAATGTACAACACTGCCTAACCATCCATTGTATATGCATTTACAAGTGTCATATTCAAATGATGCAAATTGCGACAAACATTTGCTTTCAGAAATTAAGAAATAAAAAATCCTCTTAACTAAAAAAATAATAATAAGGACATAAAGAGGTTGTTTAACATATATTTGCATAAAACACCTCAACAAACAAATCACCATCACAAAAAAAAAAAAAAACAAAACAAAACAAAACAAAACAAATGGACAGTTTTGAATGTACAGAACCTCAATTCTATTGGAGTAGCAATGAAGTTTGCCAGCATCAAAGTCGGAGCATGACAAAATGATCGAAGCAATGCAATTGCCACCCCACAAAGGAATACAGTGACACCTGCAACACAAAATAAGCTTGCATGTGAAATCATAGTAGAGCTTAGTAGAATTATGTCAGCTATACTTAAACAAAAATTAACACAGCTATGAAGCTGCTCCCCTGTCATGAAATAAAACACAGTTAACATTGTACCATATAATTCTCCATTTTCCATGAGCTGCATCTCGACTTCTGTAAAATACTGATCCAAAATAACATATAGTTGACTATGCAGACAGCTGCCAATATTAAACCAGGGTTACCTATCTGTCATTGTGCAAGACTACTTGATTAGATGCTGGAAATCAACAGTTGCCCTGACTTACATTATTCAGTTGCATAAGCTTTAACTTAAATATCGGCACAGTAGAATGGATTTTAACCTTGTTGAACATCTAATCCTTATATGATTTAAAAAAGGAACTCCAACCAATCCCATCATCTAGCATCGCCTCAGTTGGTTCAATGAAATATTTAAAATTAAAAAGTATATTAACTGCCATCACCCTCCCCATAATCCCTGCTAATTTGAGGGGGGAAAAAATACTCATCTCAGTAGCTATACAGCATTTTCTTCATAAATGAACCACATTTTTCAAACTTTAACATTGTAAATCAGTGGGAAGACAATACATAGCCAAGCAAGGTTCCCTACAAGGCTAGGTGATAGAAATCATAGAATAACTCCACTGAAACACTCAACTGAGTAACCCAACCCCATACTACAAAACAAGGAATTTTGCATGCCATCCTACCTTCGTCATTATCAATTGGCCTCCCTTGTAAAACCAACCATCTACTGGCTCCACATTGCAACATATCACTCGTGCCTTGACTTTTATTAATTAAAACTTTCCTCAGGTAGCCTTTTCTAGAGAGACCAACCACCAGCTCTATTACCAAATGATATGCACTCAAGCAGGGTGGAAAAGCCTCCTTCTAGCTATTGAGATGGGAAAACCATTCTCTTTAAGTATCCCATTGAATAGCCCATACTACCCTCAATGCAAGGTTTAGATATCCCATACTACTTCCCAATCAGTTGGTGAGTCCTTAGAAAGCTTAGATCCTTGCAGCTATACTTTGTGACATTTGACTCATCCTTCTGCCAGCCAAAACATAGGCAACCCTTCAGCCACTGACCTCTAGTTCTCATACACAATGATAGGCATTTAAACAGGGTGATAACCTTCTTCCATAAGGTGACTATTAAGGTGAGAGCTGCCTAATTTAAGTATTCATTGAATAGTCTTGATGTGGGACCTAGGTATCTCATATTACCTTGGTCCTCCTTAGAAGTTCAACAAAAGTTCAGGGAAGTTTCTGAGCATGGCATTAGGTCACTGGTTTCTATCATGCAACTAAACAACATAGATCTTGGTTACAAGAGCAAAATTTCTAATTCACATATTCCAATGTAATGAAGATTCTGTTGTTGAAATGAAAAAGAAGAGACACTAGAATGACAATGACAATATCAATAGCAGTCTCAATCAAGTAATTCTATCATACATTTAACGGAAATTAAATTTCCAAAAATCAAGAAATGCTTGATAATAACATACCGCATATAGGAAATATTCCCAAAGTAATGCCAAGAGCAGCAGAGAAAGCCAACTGTTTCGGCTCAGCACCTCTGAACAAAATGGAGAACATTAACATGGAAAACTAATTGTTGTTGTCTCTAGCAGCCTCATTGCTGAAAGAATGAGGCATAATAGCATACGGATAAGATTTCCAAATTGTTAACAATCTCTTCCATGAAAACATTCATTTTTCAACTTCAAACATAAACAAAAAATACCACATGGCTGCCCAGAAAATGAAAGCCCCCATTTCAGCTCCACATACAAAATCAGTAAATTGAATAAAAATCATATACAATTAGTTATGCTTTAGATGTCACAAGGCATCTGAAAACAGATCTAATAATCGCAAATGCATATTATAGAAAGTATTTCAAACAGACTGATGTAAACGCTCCAGACTTTTTTCTGGCCAAATTGGTGCATATAATAACCAACTAAACTAAGATCTTCATCAAACAGAGAGCCAATAGATTAGGACAAGAACTACAGAAAAACAAATCAGGGAGATCTTCGAACTCCATCATCGCACACCAACCATTGAAGGAAAGATTTTTGCATCAAAATCCCTGCCTACGAGAATGAGGGCCTTACCACATACCCTACAAGGCAACAGAGGCAAGCCAGTGGGCAGCCTCGTTAGCTACAAACCCAAACCGCTGAGAACGTACTGAAAGTCTAAAACCCCAACAATATGACATTCTGGAAAAGAACATAGTTGCATAGGAATCTTGTTATCTCATAGAAGCACCAATCCACCACTGCTGCCCAAACAAGATACCCCAACACAATTAGAGAAACCCAAATGTGGTTTCATTGTTTTTGAGCTTCTCTCGCAGACATCAGTTTCATATTCTTAATTGCTTATGATATTCGAATAGCACGTAAACCAAAAAAAAGAAAAGAAAAGAAAAGAAAAGAAAAAAAGAATGGCAGTTGAATCCCACACAAATCAGTTATGAGATCACTACAAACGAATAGTATATGGCACCTGAAACGTGAGAAACATGAATTACAAGTTGGGAAGGAAAACTACCTGCGAAGAATCAGAAGCAGAGGATCAACTATTTTGTTTTGGAACCAATTGGTTAGACCCATAGTTTTAAGCGGCATCCTGGTCCCAACCCAACCGAGTTTCGACTAAATTTTTCGATCTGATTGAATTGAGATGAAATTTTCAGAAACCCCCAGCTTTAAAAGTTCCCAAAATTTTTAATTCTACCACATATCAAACATGAAATCAATAACATTTTTCATAGATCGGAAAACAAATCCTAATTATCTCGGATTCATGACCCGAGTTTCCCATTCTTCGGTGGGGAATATTACAATAAAAGGAACCAAAATTTCGTAATAACATTTTTAACATTGAAATTAGGGGAAATGGTGCTGAGTCCCAAGGAGGAGTAAATGCTACATAAAGGCCAGGTCACACATTTAGGTTCGAGGGACCTCCTTACATAAAAATGCAAAGCTGCAATTACTTTTTTATCCTCAATGAATGAGAAAAGTGTTAGTAGCACTTTCACTCAAGAAGGGAGTGAATTAGGTGAGGTATAAAAATTTAACGAAATAAAATAATTCAGCAAATAAAACAGAGGAGATGAGTCAGGAAGGTTTTACCAAAGAATGAAGACAGAGTTTATACTGGTTTAGTCTCGACCACTTGACCTACGTCTAGTCCTCAGAACGCCTCTGAGACTTCCACTATATCCTCAAGATTAAACGGGCTTTTGGTGCCTCAGTACAGTAATTGAATCTCTCAATCACCCCTTTACTATTCGTAAGGTTACAATCCCCTCAAGAGTCCACACTCTTGAGTTACTCTCAGAATTGAGTAAAAAAGATATATCATTTCACAGAGTATTTGAATGATAAACACTGAAGTTCGATAAAATAGAGTATTGAATGCAACAGTAAATTTTTAGCAAACAGTAGCTCACATATTCAATTCTTCATTCAATGCTTTTTGCGCTTTTTATAGTTGGAGTATTTCAATTATCCGTTAGACTGAAGAGCTTCTAGTCATTGGAAGATCGCTTGCTTGTGTTCGGCAGTTACAACAGTAGTTCGCCATTAATACTTCTGACATAGTAGGTTAAAGGCTATAAAATAACCGTTGCGCATCGTAATCTGCAGAAGTTTCTTGGCACAAGTAAGTTTCCTTCTTCAATAAAATAGGAATGAGTGATAGAAGGAGTGATGAATCTTGAAACTGATGCAATAGTTGAAAAACACAAAATCAATCACCAAATACTTAGAAAATAAACTGAACTTACTTGATCGGTGTCTTGATTGATAATCCTTTGATACATCATATTATTGATTAATTGCAAAAGAAATAGACTTAACAGATGTATGTATTTATCGAGTAAGTTATGGATCATTCAATGATAGAACAAGTCATCGATAAATGACAAAATATAGCCAAAGTGTTCTTAGCAAGTGAAATGCTTCTGTATTTTGTGTAAGGCTAATTTCTTCCAAATTTGCATGCCTTTTAATAAGAGATTTGTATGACTAAATAACGCTGAAAAAAGCTTGAAGAAATAATGTTCATATGGTTTATAAAGAATCATCGTGAAGAACTGTTTAAGTGATGAAATAATGCATTGATCAAATAGATGATTGAAAATCATTTGATCAATCATATTATTGATTAAGCTAAGCTAGAGTGAATCCCATTTTCAAGCTATGACAATCGAACACTTCTTCGATAAAGGGGTGATCGAATAAGTGATAGAAAAGTGGTTTAAAGATATTTTCCTAGTAATGCACAAAGAAGAGTTGATGATTGATTAATAGATCGATTAATAATTAATCGATTAAGTGATCAATAAATGCCTGTGGAAAGTTTGTTTTTAGAAAATTCCAGAGTAAGGCTTTGATCGATCATGTGATATGAAAAGATGATACAAAGACCATGATGATCGATCATATTATCGATAAAAGGATGATCGATCAATTGATCGATGATAGATTGTGAAAAAATTTACTTTGCAAAATATCGTAAAATACTTTGATGGAACACATTATTGATTAACCAAAAATGTTTTGACACATAAAATTCGAATAAGTTATTGATAAAGCACTAATCGATAATAAAAGAACTATTCAACACAGTAAATAAGTCAAGGAAACTTTACCAGTTATCTGAGTCTTCATCGATTACTTTATGATCGATCAAGTGATCGATAATCCTTATGTTATACTCATGGTAGTTTATATCTTTACCCGACAGCTTATCGATCAATAAATTATCGATTAAATGATCAATAATTTGCTGCAACATCTTATACACAATCAGTGTTATTAATGATCGTTCACATGATTGATTAACACATAAATTTGAATTATCTAACACATTTTCGATCAAGCTTAACAATAAATGATTAAGAAAGAATTAGCAGTTATCTGACAATTATTTGGTTAACCAGTGATCAAAAGGGTCAATACATTACTCTAGAGTCTGCTGATGTTGCTGAGAGGATTGTAAGTAATATTTATACATTATGCTTCAAATTGATTTTTTTTAATTATCTTAAATTGAATTTCTTGCTTTAATGTTACAAAATACACTTGAGAAGCAATTATCCCAAGGCACATTCATCCCTCAAAGACAGATGGATATCTTAGCCACTGTTATTGGAAAGGCTGACCATCCTGGCAGAGTGAGAGGGGCCCCTGAAAGGATTAGTATTAAACAATTTTTTGGCTCTGGTTCATAAAGAAGCACTGGATCATTCTTTGCTAAATGGTATCTAAAGAGGAGCTCGACCAATGATTACATGAAGAAAGAGAAAGAGTTCGAGCTGAACTCAGTGAACAACACAAGACGGAGATGCAAAAGATACGTGAGGAGTTCGACGTTAAGTTTCAATAGGCTATGATGATGATGGGCACGACCGGATTCTAGATGCCCCGAGTATCTGAACCTTCCCAGGTAATAATCACACATATTTTCAAATCTTCTAAAGGTTCATTTGATCCATTTAAACTTATTTAATGTGCCTTAACTAATTTCATATTATGTTTTAGGGTTCACTTATGATAAAAAGTGGGAAGGGTAGTAATAATTAGATGTAGCAACTGACAGTGTCTAACCCTGACCGTAGCCCTAACCCTGTCAAAGATGATAGAATGCCGTGTGCTCTTTATGTGGACTTTGGAGATTTAGGTGTTCATGTCACTAATGGTCGAGCATTCTTGGGCACAATGATCCATGGCATGAAAGTTCCAAAGGATCAAGCAAGGCTGACAGTGGATAGGATTCTTCGTGGTCATGGTGGTACACCAATACCCAACTCTACTGATGAGGTTCGACTATTAGCTTAGGCTAAAGGACATTTCATTTTATGGCCAAAGAAACTTATTACAAAGCCATTGACGAAAAAGGTGACAGCGAAGAGCGCATTATCAGATCCTGTACTCCTGCCTCTTCCTAGTGATCTTACCCTTATGTATTCTAGTTTGGAGTTCTTCATTCCATAGTGCCAAACATGGATAAGCCCGTTACTTGCAAGATGCTGCTAGGGATTGTGGGTTCAAATATAACATACAACTTCACTATTGACAAGAAGGACCTCGTTCAGTTCCTCAACTTTAAGGAGCTGGATATAGTCCTTATACAGCTGGCTATTTTGTAAGTTACAATATCATTTTCTTAATTCATGTTATACTTATACATGTCCTAATGTTTCTTATTTGAACAACAGGCATTTTACTCAAATCTCTCGGCAAAGAGGACTTAAAGGAACATATGACTTTATGTGTCTGCAAAGGGTGCAGAAAATAGTCAATACTATGGAAGCGAGGCCGATCTACATGATGACCACAATGACTCAGACAAGAAAGCAAATATATTTTGCACCTTACGTGGAAGGTAAGTATATTATTGTATTTGAGATACACAAGTTGTATGTATAGTATTATAATTAACATGGTTTGTATTTTGCAGTTATCATTGGACCCTAATTGTTGGTGCCCTTTTTGATAACAAAGTCTACTGGTTCGATTCCCTCTATGGAAGTCCATCTGAAGAAACCAAAGATGTCATCGACACGTTAGTTTTTGTTTATATATTTATTACGTGTGAAGTTTATAAAAACATGCTCTAACATCATTAAATTTTATTGTTGATAGGGCTTTTCATAGTTTCAATGTTGTGGCAAAGAAGCAAAATAGACAACCACCAACATAGATTCTCCCAAAAGTATGTTGTTTTGAGCTAAATATATACTGTTAAATATTTTTCAATAATTAAAGTTAATGTTTATAATTAAAGTCTAATATTCAATTTTATATTTCATTTTGTTAGTACCGTTATCAGCAAGAGTGTTGAATGTAGATATTATGTTATCTGCTACATGAATGACATCATTGAGACATGGGTGACTAAGAAATTAGATAAGGTAAAGATAAGTTACGTCACATGTAATTCTTCAGTTCTTTTCACATTTTTGATTAAGTTGATATGTTATTTTTGATTTATAGGTATTTCAAAATGTTGCGCCATATCAAATGGAAGAAATCAACTTGATGAGAGATACTTTGTCAACAACATTTCTATAGAGTTTTGAAAATTTGAAATAGTTAGATCATTCCTCAAAAAATTCATTGTTAGATTTTTTTCTCTTAGTTCCCCCTATACATGTTCCTTAGTTCTATTGTGCAGACATAATTAGCTTAGCTTGTTACTATTCTTTGAATTATGCCTTTACTTGTTGTTAGGAGAAGTAGCAAGCTAAGGTATCATCTTGTAGTTATAGGATTGGTTTCTATCCTGCCTAGATAGATTCGAACCCTTGTAAGCTCTTTGTGCCTATGTTAAAAGAAATTTCAATGCTTACTACGATGTATGTATTAACCAGCTAGTTATATGGTCATTTTGAAATAGTTTTGTATTTATATTCTGCACTGTCTGCATTTATTTGGAACTGTAAACTACAGGGAGCCAAAAAAAAGTAAACAAAATATTATTAAAAAACATTACACTTTTAACGGCTGTTATTTAAAATAACAACCGTTAAAAATATTTACCACGGCAGTTCTTCCAAAAACCGCTGTGGAAAATTGAATTTCCACTACAGTTACTTTAAAAACCATTGTGGAAAATGAATTTTCCACGGCAGTTTTATTAATAACCGCCATGGAAATTTGATCTTGCATGGTGGTTTTTATCAGAACCGTCGTATTTTATTTACCTTTCAACGTCAATTGTATCCATTGCGCCTTCATTGTTAAAAACCCTTAATAATTGCTGTTAAAAGCCTTTTTTTTGGTAGTGTGTGTCAAAAAACTTG